CAACACACACACCCCCTGCACACTGCACACCACACACACACAAACCACCCCCCCCACACAACATATACACACACACCCCATATTTATACACACACCACACACACATACCACACACACACGCAGTCTGAGCTGTGTCCTGCAGGTGGTGCAGGATGCGGGGAGCTATGGGTGCCTCTGGAAGGGTAGCATAGGAGCCGGGCCTCCAGGAAACTATCTTCTTAACTGCTGTGAATCTATCTTGAAATCATTTGATTCCGAAATTTTCAAAATTCTGTCACCATAATCACAGCTCTGGGCCCAATTATTGTACTTGAAAACCCACCAATTGCTGGAACTCACCCACCCCCCTCACAAACTGGAATTCACCCACCCCCCTCACAAACCGGAACTCACCCACTCCCCTCACAAACCGGAACTCATCCACTCCCCTCACAAACCCGAACTCACCCACCCCCCTCACAAACCGGAACTCACCCACTCCCCTCACAAACCGGAACTCACCCACTCCCCTCACAAACCCGAACTCACCCACTCCCCTCACAAACCGGAACTCATCCACCCCCCTCACAAACCGGAACTCATCCACCCCCCTCACAAACCGGAACTCACCCACCCCCCTCACAAACCGGAACTCACCCACCCCCCTCACAAACCGGAACTCACCCACTCCCCTCACAAACCGGAACTCACCCACCCCCCTCACAAACCGGAACTCACCCACCCCCCTCACAAACCGGAACTCACCCACCCCCCTCACAAACCGGAACTCACCCACCCCCTCACAAACCGGAACTCACCCACCCCCCTCACAAACCGGAACTCACCCACCCCCCTCACAAACCGGAACTCACCCACTCCCCTCACAAACCGGAACTCATCCACTCCCCTCACAAACCGGAACTCACCCACCCCCTCACAAACCGGAACTCACCCACCCCTCACAAACCGGAACTCACCCCCCCCTCACAAACCGGAACTCACCCACCCCTCACAAACCGGAACTCACCCACTCCCCTCACAAACCGGAACTCATCCACTCCCCTCACAAACCGGAACTCATCCACCCCCCTCACAAACCGGAACTCACCCACTCCCCTCACAAACCGGAACTCACCCACCCCTCACAAACCGGAACTCACCCACCCCCTCACAAACCGGAACTCACCCACCCCCCTCACAAAGAGTCTATATTTACTTCAGTTTAATTGAAGAAATCAGTAGACAGGAATCTGCCCCAGCAAGGGCCATGGACCACATGACCCTGTAGCACCAGGCTGAGGAGGGCAGAGGCCATATGTGGCTTAAGTTTTGGGTGCTACTCAAGCCACCTGACAACGGCTAACAGGAAGGAGTCCTTGCAAAGAAAAGACCAGCTTGCACCATCCAGGAATGGAAGAAGATTAAAAGGTCAAAAACAGATCTACACTTGGCTCTGTCCATCCTTAATTTTCTCACTATAACCATAAAAATTAGCCTTCTATAGAAATGCAGAGACTGGCTTCCATAATGGAGGAGGAGCTACACAGGAAACTCCCAGGTGCCACAAGGTGTCACTCATCACGTGCAGATGGGGCAACAGCAGAATGTGAGCAGCTCCCTTCGTGAATTGCTGAGTGGGTGTTCATCTTCCCTATGTGGAATCATCAGGGGTGAGGGACACCATGGTTCCCCAGCTCCAGCTGCTAATCTGGCAGCCACCTGCTCTCCATCTCCCCATCACTCCCCCAGGCCTCCCATGTGGACCCTGCTGGTAGGTTTTAAGTCTCAAAGAGCAATACACCATTTGTCTTTTGGGATACTGAGCAAGGACCAAAATAAGAGAAAAAAAGTGAAGAAAGCAGCTTGTTATGGTCTAAAGGTGAGCCCAAAGTTCATGTGCTGGAAACTCAATCCCTAATGCAGAGGCGTTGGGAGGCTTAAGAGGTCTGCATTATGAGGACTCTGCCCTCATGAACAGGTGAATGCCATTATCTTGGGAGTGAGCTCCTAGGAAAGAATGTGTTTGCCCCCCCTTGCTTTCTCTCTCTTTCTCACCCTCTCTTTGCCCTTCCATTTGGGGATGACACAGCACAAAGGCCCTCACCAGATGCTGATTCCACAATCTTGGACTGCCCAGCGTCTAGATCCATGAGCTAATATATTTGTGTTCGTAGGTTACCCCATCCATGGTATTCTGTTATAGCAGCATAAAGTGGACTAAGACACAGTCCCAGTCCAAGAAGCCAAAAGCAGTATCAGGTGGCAGTAAGACAGAAGTGCCCAGGAAACCCATGGGCAGGTACTGAATACAGAGAAAGGGAAAAGCAAGGACAAAATCACACATGGGCAACTACTGAGAATGGGCATTCTTGGTTATCCATCCAAATGCCTGCAGGGTTGCAGGCGTACCCTGGTGTGGGTGAAGGAGCCCTAACAGGAAGTGCAGCCCAGCACAGTGGACGATTTCCAACAGCACTGCCCTTGCTGCATGCAGCACTGCTGAGGAAGACTCAGATCAAAGTGCTGATGACTGCAGTGCCTGTGTGTCCTTGTCTGCAAGTGTCAGGGTTGGCAGCATCTGTCTGCGACCTCATCCCCCAGAGGATGGCTGTGAAAATGAAATGAAGTCTTGAGCCATGAAGTGGGATTGGATATTGGATCATGAGCCTTGCCAGACTGTGGCAGCATGTTTAGTGCCCCTCTTCCCACAGTGGTGAGTGGGCATTTGCTGCCTTCATGCATCAGAGTTGATCAGCCAAGAGTGATTTCTTTTCTTTTTTGTCTTGTTAGAGGTGAACTCCTCCCACACTTGCCAAACAGTCCTTGATGAAGACAGAACATTGAACATAACTGAGGATTCTCTCTGACCTCATCGGATGACCGGGCCAGCAGAGAGGGCAGCCTCCTGCACACAGAGCAAAGGGAGGCAGCCATAGATACGGCCATCCGCTCTCCCATGAATACATCGTCAGGGTGGCAGGACGTGCATTAACCACAAAGACCCTACACAGAAAGCTTCAAATTAAAGCTTAATTTTTCTGAGCTGACTTTTCACAGAGAAATTAGCAGGAAGTGCTTCACCATGACACAGATCTAGGCTGTCCCTAATTTGGTTGAACAGCACTGAGTGACTGTCGTGACAAGCACTAGGACACCAAGAAGAGGAGGTAGACGATGGTCACTGCCTCCTTCAGGAACCCTCAGTCCAGGTCAGATCAAAGGGCCCGTGTCTCACAGCTGAGCTTCAAACACAGGAGGGGTTTTTTTTTCTCTCTCTCTCTCTCTTTTTAACACGGAGTCTCACTCTGTCACCCAGGCTGGAATGCAGTGGCACGATCTCGGCTCACTGCAACCTCTGCCTCCCAGATTTAAGCAATTGTGCCTTGGACTCTGCAGTAACTGGTATTACAGGTATGAGCCACTATGCCTAGCTAATTTTTATATTCTTAGTAGAGATGGGGTTTCACTATGCTGGCAGGCTTGTTTTGAATGCCTGACCTCAGGTGATCCACCCACCTTAGCCTCCCAAAGTGCTGGGATTACAGGTGTGAGCCACCGCACCTTGCCAGGAGGATTTTAAAGACCATGGTGAATCAGCCCTCCACAACACAGTCTCAAGCTTGTTTTCTCTTTCACATTTGTTACCGAAGTTGACAACAAATAAAAGAGTCATAAACAACAGGAATTTGAGAGATCTCTGCTAGCCCTACCCAGAAAGTATTATACAAATCAGGAAACAGAGATCCCCAAGGACAGTGAGATCTAATGCACATGTGGAATGAGATCCAGCACACACGTGCAGTGGAATCCAGTACACATGTACAGCAGGATCTAGCACATACATATGGGGGATCTAGCACACACATGCAAGGGATTGAGCACATATGTGCAGTGGGATCTAGCACAAGTGGGCAGGGAGATCCAGCACACACATGAAGGGGAATCTGGCACACATGTGCAGTGGGATTTAGCACACACACGTGCAGGGGGATCTAGCACACGTGAGGGGATCCAGCACAGATGTGCAGGGGGATCTCACACACGTGTGAGGGGATCCAGGACACATGTGCAAGAGATCTAGCACACACGCAGGGGATCTAGCACACGTGAGACGATCAAGCATGTACGTGCAGGGGTATCTAGCACATATGTGCAGGGGATCCAGGACACATGTGCAAGGGACCCAGCACACACGCAGGGGATCTAGCACACACACGTGCAGGGGGATCCAGCACACATGTGAGGGGATCCAGGACACACATGTGCAAGGGATCTAGCACACACGCAGGGGATCTGACACACATGTGCAGGAGTATCTAGCACACATGTGAAGGGGGATCTGGCACACACATGAAGTGGGATCCAGCACACACATGCAGGAGTATCTAGCACACATGTGCAGTGGAATCTAAGGCATGCGTGCATCTCACAGTGCTGTCTCTGAGTTGAAAAGTCAGACCTGGGTTTTCCTGGCTTGGGCTCCTGAGAACACTTGGGCTCTGGCCATCATAGGATTCTCTTCCTTCCTGTCACGGTTGGTTGGGTAGGCCAGGCCCACACAAAAAAAGTATTTTCAATTGGTAAAACTGCTATAAGCATTGGAATGACTGGTCTGGGCCTCAGCAATGATTTTACGCCTCATGAACTGGCCTGAACATTTGGTTGGAGTTCAGGTACAGGGTTGGTGAGTTATTCCAATGGTTCCCAGGCTTGCACCTCAAATACCAGAAGACAATCCATTCTAGGGGAAACCAACCATGATGAACAGTGAAAAGGCTCATTGCAAACCAACATGGAGTTCATGCCCTTTGAGCCTGGGCTCTCCTGGGCAAGTGGCATGACATGAGTCATCAATTATCGTTATTATTCCTGCAAACAGATGACCTACAATTAAACAGCATATTTGATTTTTTTGCACCCCCAGGCCATAAACACATTCTGTAATTGTGTTTGTGAGAAGCGGACCTCCCAGGCCTCAGGGCCTGACCATGGCCCAGGGTCGGGGGTGGGAAGGCTCTTACTGTGGCGCTTCTTGGTGTCTGCTTTGCCGTCCTCTTTAGCCACGCCCAGGCAGCCCATCAGTTCTTGTACCGAGATGGATTTGTCATTATTCACATCACAGTATTCAACAAACTTCTTCACACATTTTTTGGGCTTTGATTTTTTGCGAAGGAACCTCTTGAAGGGTTTGATTTCCTTTTTGCCGATGTCTCCACTGGAGTTTTTATCGAGTAGTTTGAAGTACCAGTGCACCACTCGCTCCTCTAGGGTGTGGCTGGGGTCGGGTTCCGAGAGCCTGGAAGGAACACAGACGCCGTCAGGACTCTTAAACCCCTCAGCTGCCCCTTTCTCGCCACTGTCCTTCCATCAAACCCACAACCCCTGCTTGTAGTTCTCATGGTCCTGGTGTCTAAGCCTGCAGCATTGGTAATCAGATATAACAATTTAAAGAAATAATTTAGAAGAACACTTTTAGCAAATATTTTTCAGGTTGGATTCAAAATTGCAAATGATGCAGTGAATTTGTGCCCAGCAAAGATGCACTTGGCCCGTTCCTGAAGGACAAAAGTCCCCTTATCCTGGCTTCTGTGTGCACAGGACTGGCAAGTCAGCACATGCAGCTATACCCACCCGATACACCAGAACCCTGAGCTTTTCTAGCCCTGTAAATTTAATTCTTTTACACATCCTTTATGTCATAGGTATACCGGATGATGCAAATCAAAAACATTTTAAGTTGGAACTAGATAGCTTTCCTTGGATTATGATAGGTTCAATATTTTAGGGCATAAATAAGTAAAACTCTTCTAGAAGGTCTGGATGGGAGTCAAATCTTTAAAAGTGCACCAAATGGCAGAAATGCACCTTCTCGTTGAGATGGAGGGTGTGTGTGTGCACAGGCAGGCCCTCCTGGAGGTGCTGGCCTCTGGATTCTGCCTGTTGGGATGAGCTGCGCATTTCCAGGTATGAGAACACCATGAACTCCAACACCACTGCCAATTTCTCAGACTTTCAAAGGAGTTTCTCAGATAGCAATCCATTTACTGCCTTCACTTTTAGTTTGCATTTAGTTTAGCTTGCAATTTAGTTTAGTTAGCAATTCATTTACTGCCTTTGTTTTTAGTTTGCAGTTTAGTTTAGTTTGCAAAAACAATCCTTCCAAGAATAGAAGATGTAAAGTTGAAATTTACATAAAGTTTGACTCTATTAAATTTCTTTTCTTTTCTTTTCTTTTCTTTTTTTTTTTTTTTTTTTTTTTTTTTGAGACAGAGTTTTGCTCTTGTTGCCCTGGCTGAAGTGCAATGGTGTGATCTTGGCTTACTGCAACCTCTGCCTCCCAGGTTCAAGTGATTCTCCTGCCTCAGTGTCCCGAGTAGCTGGGATTACAGGTGCCTGCCACCATGCTGGGCTAAGTTTTGTGTTTTTAGAATGGATGGGTTTTCACCATGTTGGCCAGGTTGGTCTCAAACTCCTGACCTCAGGTGATCCACCCGCCTTGGCCTGCCAAAGTGCTTGGATTCCAGGTGTGAGCCCCCGTGCCTGGCCTGCTCTACTACATTTAATTTCCTACACATTCATGACATTTTCTGTTAGCATTTCCTTTTTATTTCCTTAAGTCTTCTTTAGCAGAGACACAGTGAGAGGACAGGCTTTTAGTTCAGAAGACCAAAAAAGTCATCTAAAGTGGCTGAGATCATCAAGGGTTTGGGTGTCGGGGCTCTTGGGAGAAAGGCCAACATTCTAAAGAAAGAAAAAAGTGAAAATCTCCATTCAAAATTTATTTGAAAGAAACAGATAAACTATTGCTAGTTCAGGGGGAATATCCGATGCTTGAGATGCCATCGCAGTAAAACCCTGGGGTTCCTCCACTCTCCTGAGGCTGATCTACAGAGGGTGGAAAAGAAGAGTGATGGGAAATTCACTGAAGTCCACTACACCGTGCTCCAGGCCCCAGGTCCAGGAGTGCAGGAATGTCTACAATGTACTCAGGGAACATTTCCAGGGTTCCAAAACTCCTATTTTGAGCAGTGTGAATGTCTTGGACACAACCGAATCATACGCCTGAAAGTAGTTAGGATGGCAAATGTATGTGCTGCACATTTTACTGCAATAAACATAATCACGCTTTGAGAACTTCAAATTAAACGTTGTCGTTCAAAGTATTTAAAATCCAATGGATAACTCTAAAGTGCAATTTCAAAGCACAGAGCCCTCGGCAGGAGGTGCTCCCCCTGCCCTACTCCCCACCAACAGGACCAGGGTCAGAGCCCACTACCCCATGGAGGTCCAGGAGTCACGGCTCAGGGCCACATACCCCAATGGGAGCGCCTTCAGTGATTTAGTCATGCTACAAGAAAAACCTGCTAAGCAACTTCTTGTGTTTGCAGAGGGCTCCTTTTTAAGGCCCTACTGTGTCCAAATAAGCTGAGAAGGTCGCCAATATGTAATGTTCAGACTTTCCAGATTCCCCGGAATTCTGGGACCCCACCAACTCATTGTCCCACAGCGAACACAGCGTACCTGCCTGACGAGGAGGAGGGGTCAGAGACAGCGTGAACCATGTCCGTGGACAGCGCGTCCAGAATACTGGTCAGAAACTCATGCTTTTTGGCACCCGGGCAACCTGAAAAACATGTGTATGTTTTCACAGTTAACTCATAAAGCATAACAGATTTTCCTCTAAAATACAGGGAAATGTTGTTTTAGTGTTTGGAAATGAGTATTTTGGGCTACCTTAATCTTAATGAGCTAGCTTAAACACAAACATATTGTGCTATGTATATTGATTTTGAGCCATAGTTATTGTTAATTCCAGTATTGTTTGAATTATTACGTGAGACTAAAATTCACAGGCATTAGTGTCTCACTGATCTTCAGAACTGCACTCAGAGGTAGGCGGTGTCACTCACCCAGCAAGCATGACAGCAGAGGCACTGGGTGCTTAGGGACACTGGACATACGGTGTACACGCTGGGAGCACATGAGGCTGGCCATCCTGGCAAACGAGGCCAGAGCCTGTGATTCACCGCCACCCCCACCCGTCCAGAGCCACCTCGCTTCTCAGAGCAGAAGGAGGCAGTAGGGCAAAGAGCAGGAGGTACGCAACACCAGTTTCCTGGGGACTTGTCCACACCATGGCATCCACACAAACAGTCAGCATCGGTGCGAACAGTCTGCATCCGCAACGCCCATCTCCTGGGGACTTGTCCACACCACGGCATCAGCACAAACAGTCAGCATCGGTGCCAACAGTCTGCATCCTCAACGCCCGTCTCCTGGGGACTTGTCCACACCACGGCATCCGCGCAAACAGTCAGCATCGGTGCTAACAGTCTGCATCCGCAACGCCCGTCTCCTGGGGACTTGTCCACACCACAGCATCTGTGCGAACAGTCTGCATCCACAACGCCTGTCTCCTGGGGACTTTTTCACACCATGGCATCAGCATGAAGAGTCAGCATCTGCAAGGCCTGTCTCCTGGGACTTGTCCACACCACGGCATCGGCACGAATAGTCAGCAGCAGGGTTTAGTGCTCATAGCTTTGGAGCCCAGAGCTGACTGTGTATGGATTCTGGGATCAGGGAATAATTCAGGCACCCAACATTCTGCAGCGTGCCTTTCCCCTCCATCCTTCCCTCAACACCACTCTCCTCTCACACCGGTTAGGCATTCCCTGAGCTCCATGCCTGAGACACTCGTCCCACCCCAAATTCAAGATAACATTTGAAAGAAGCTGTCCACTTTCTCTGGGGTCTTTTCTCCTGAGACTGCTCCCGGTGCTACTGCCCCAGTCACAGCTGGACACAGGCAGCATCCCGTGTCCTTAGGCCCAGGGCGGCATGGACGACGTGGGTCTCCTCGCTCTGGATGCCCTTTCGGCATAGAGAAGCCACTCAGCCGCCCAATACATGCTTGCTGGATCAATAAGCAAATGCAAGAGGCAGGAGCCCCACTCTGGTTTCCCTGATGAGAACGGCGCGTCTAAGAGCTTCACAAGCAGGGAGCAAGGAGCAAAATCTGCCAATTCCAACTGGGTCTATCTGTGTGTAAATAGCCATGGGACAGGTGACAGATGGAGCTCGTCACCATTTACATTTTGTTAAGTTTTTCTAAAGAAAGCCCTTCCAGAATTCAGTAGAAAGAAGAGAAAGACACTGAGGGGAAAATAGAAGACAGAAGCCAGGCACCGGTCCTGGAAGGACAGCGTCCTCACTGTGCCACGCCGTGCACTGAGACTCCGTGCCAGGGGCGGCTGCCCCTCCCTGGGGCTCTGCTGGGGCTGGGGATGCCCCATGGTGACTTCTGAGCCTGGAGAGCACCTCGGGCATTAGAACATCTGCTCCGACCGTCCTCACCACGGCAGGAAGGGAGTTTACACCACACACCTTCTGCCCAATTTAGATTCCGTTTTTTACTAAGAAGTTTTAGACAGCCCCTCCAAAGAAAATCTCAGGAGCCCACTCAGTAAGTAGAAGATATGGAGAGCTGCAAAGCCCAGGCAGAAAGCCGAGTGGGACTGAAGACAGCCCCTCCCCTGCCTTCCCCATGGCCCTTGGAGGAAGAATATCTGAGATGAGAAAGGCTGTCTTGGGACTCCTCGAGGGACAGGACAGGCTGAGGGTGCTGTGGAGAAAGGCAGTGCCACACGTGCTTCTCAGGTCCCTGGGTCGAGGGCACATTAGCGTGGACCACCCCTGGGTCGAGGGCACGCTGGCGTGGACCACGTGGCCCTGGTGTGGACAGCAGCCAAGTCATTCGGAGACCAGCATGTTTATGCAGTTAGGGACGCCCTGGTTTTCCTAGGTTTCTTTTGACACTGGAGTTTTGTGTGATTACTATTGAAGCGCACGTGAGCTGCCCACAGCAGGACTCCAGTCATGCTGGCTTCTACTTCATTCAACACGCGTCAGAAAACAAATGTGCAGCCTTCGCCGGGGGGTTCTGAGAGTGAAAAAAGGTCTGCCTTAGTCCCTTTGCACACAACTGCAAAAGGAGATCACAATCTACAGAAAAAAGCCTCACGGCCACAGGGCAAATGCTACTTTCCAAGAAAGAAGTAACAATCTCATCCAACCCCTCAGAAAGGCAGAGGACCGGAGGCTGCAGAGGCTGCTGGCCGGTGCTTCCAAAGCTGCCCAGCCCACTGGACCTCGCCTCCCTGGGATGGGCCTCCTGGTCTACAGAAGGCTGACCTCCCCGGCTGCAGGACTAACCAGGAAAAGAAATGAGAAAAACAACCTGGAGGGCTGAAAATACCTCCAGGGCACAGGCTTAGGAACATGCAGGCAGAAGCCCTGCCAGGCCAGCCGTCCAGGAGAACTTGTCCAGGGTGAGGAGGCAGACGCTGGGGCAGGTGAGGCTGGGACCCACGAGACCTCGGGCACCTGCCTGCCGGGGCTGCTCTCTATGAATTCCCAGTCCTCCACTGGCCTCCAGAGATTCTGAGGGTAATATGGAGTTGATGGAGAAGAATATTATTGTCTGGGAGAAAAGGCATTTTAGATAATCCTCAGTACTGAACACCTTTAAGAAAGAATTATGCTTATATTTGGTGTGGTAATAGGGATATACCCAAGGGGATTTTTTTTGGCTGTTAATTTAATCATATTTCCCCAAATGAGATAAAGCAACATACTATTTCAAATGAGAAAATAATAGATGCTCATCACGAAACTTAACTAACGTAATGTAAAAGCTGCAGGACTCTTTAATGCCAAAAGAAAAACTGAACATGAAAAGCATAATGTACTTCTAAAAGAAGAAATAGTAAATCAGTCCTGCTCAATCCTGGCTCCTTCTCCCGTGTCGCAGTCACCCCAGGACCTGGAATAATGCTTGTTACTGCTCAGGGATGATTGTACTTCAAAACTATTTCTGAAGGAAAAACGGTGAATAAAGATTACAAGCAATCAGCAGGAAAAAACTAACTTTCATTATGTTAAAGTGAATGTTCACTGCATGAGAAATCACAGAAGTATCACGAAGTGAAAATTTCGTCACCCTGAAATGTCCCAGATCTAGCAAATTCACGAGAGGAGCAACGAGGCTTGAGGTAAAAGACCAACGACCCCAGAGCAGCTGGGTTTTCCCCACTGCTGCCCACAGGGAGCTATTCCGCTTCTCCCATGACAGCTGCGTCCGGCACAGCGGTGGCTGCAGAGACCCTCGTCCCTCACAGGGTGCTGGCCCCCTGTCAACCCTTACTGTAACTCCTCTGGCCACCTTGAAAGCAAAGCCGCCCTTTGCTCTGGCGTTTTGCGGGTGTGTGATTCAGCCTGGGGAAGCTGCCTGCTGAGAACCTGTGTGAGGAGCCTGCTGTTCCGGGGGGGGCCTTTGCAGCACACTCTACCCCCGGCCTTCTTCTCACTCAGCTGCCTACACAGTGGGGTCTAACGGCCCCTGTGAATACTGCGTCACGGGAAGGTTGGCGTCAAAACCGCCACGTGCAGGCTCAGCGATGCACCCAGAGTCACTCTTTACTTTGGGACAGTTCCACTCACAGTTCTCCAACCACCTGCAGAACTGAAGTCTCAGGTCAACAGAGGCATAGTGGGAAGGTGCCACCCCACACACACTCCCACCTGGGTTAGATGTGCCAGGCCCTCTCCCAGCCACACACACTCCCACCTGGGTTAGACGTGCCAGGCCCTCTCCCAGCCACACACACTCCCACCTGGGTTACACGTGCCAGGCCCTCTCCCAGCCACACCACTCCCACCTGGGTTAGATGTGCCAGGCCCTCTCCCAGCCCACACACTCCCACCTGGGTTAGACGTGCCAGCCCTCTCCCAGCCCACACACACTCTCACCTGGGTAGACGTGCCAGGCCCTCCCCACCCCACACACTCCCACCTGGGTTAGACGTGCCAGGCCCTCTCCCAGCCATACACACTCCCACCTGGGTTAGACGTGCCAGGCCCTCTCCCAGCCACACACACTCCCACCTGGGGTTAGACGTGCCAGGCCCTCTCCCAGCATACACACTCCCACCTGGGTTACACGTGCCAGGCCCTCTCCCAGCCCACACACACTCTCACCTGGGTTACACGTGCCAGGCCCTCTCCCAGCCCACACACTCCCACCTGGGTTAGACGTGCCAGGCCCTCTCCCAGCCATACACACTCCCACCTGGGTTAGACGTGCCAGGCCCTCTCCCAGCCACACACACTCCCACCTGGGTTAGACGTGCCAGGCCCTCTCCCAGCCCACACACACTCTCACCTGGGTTAGATGTGCCAGGCCCTCTCCCAGCCCACACACTCCCACCTGGGTTAGACGTGCCAGGCCCTCTCCCAGCCATACACACTCCCACCTGGGTTAGACGTGCCAGGCCCTCTCCCAGCCACACACACTCCCACCTGGGTTAGACGTGCCAGGCCCTCTCCCAGCCATACACACTCCCACCTGGGTTACACGTGCCAGGCCCTCTCCCAGCCCACACACACTCTCACCTGGGTTAGACGTGCCAGGCCCTCTCCCACCCCACACACACTTCCACCTGGGTTAGACGTGCCAGGCCCTCTCCCAGTCCACACACTCCCACCTGGGTTACACGTGCCAGGCCCTCTCCCAGCCACACACTCCCACCTGGGTTACACGTGCCAGGCCCTCTCCCAGCCCAC